CCGTGTATGTAGCTCAGAAGTGAGTTGTGACAGTCACACCGTCAGACTGTTCCAGCTGCAGAACTTTAAGGCTGGTTTCACTTTAGTCCTCAGCAGACCTCATAGTCCAAATCAGCTCCTGCTCACAGTTCACCTCAGTTCTGCTTGGACAGAAGTTAGATCCATGAACCCAGTCTGTTGCACCAAAGAGCTGCAAAAAGATGATGTCCATGTTACATTCTGTAAGGACAGGAAGGGAAGGGACAATGTCGCTATGATTTCAGTCTTCCTTCAGCCAGTATTTGTGTCTTTTTACTCTTCTTCCTCAAACTAACTCAATTACCTGTACCTATAGCACCACATGCGCTGGTGCCCCTCCTTGCTATAGAAGTGGTGCCCTTCTGCACACCAAGAGTGTGGTTATTCTCTTTGGTTGCAGTCAGCCTCTTTGGTATTCATATGTACATTGTCTAACCCCATGTTACTTATCTGAACTGTTGATCAGTCATAGGAGTCTGCCCTATTTAAGCTGTAATATCTTGTGGATGTTGTGTCTGCTCCTGCTACCTCTTCCTGCACCCTCCCCTTGCCCTGCCCAGCTTGTTTAGTAGTTCCCCACAATGTTTTTCAATGTTCAGGCAATAAATATGTGTCAGAAGTCTTTTACCAGAGCTAAGACTTCAGAATCACAGGGTGGTAGGGGTTGGAAGGGACCTCTGGGGATCATCTAGTCCAAACGTCCTGCCGAAGCAGGGTCACCTAGAGCAGGTTGCACAGGACCTCATCCAGGCGGGTTTTGAATATCTCCAGAGAAGGAGAATCCACAGCCTCCCTGGGCAGCCTGTTCTAGTACTCTGTCACCCTCAAAGAAGTTGTTCCTCGTGTTCAGCTGGAACTTTTTATGCTTCAGTTTGTGCCCATTGTCCGTTGTCCTGTTACTGGGCGCCACTGAAAAGAGTCTGGCCCCATCCTCCTGACACCCACCCTTCAGATATTTATAAGCATTTATAAGGTCCTCTCTCAGCCTTCTGCAGGCTAGACAAGCCCAGCTCCCTCAGCCTTTCCCCACAGGAGAGATGCTCCAGTCCCCTCATCATCCTTGTAGCCCTCCGCTGGACTCTGTCCAGTAGTTCCTCATCTTTCTTGAACTGGGGAGCCCAGAACTGGACACAGTACTCCAGATGAGGCCTCACCAGGGCAGAGTAGAGGTGAAGGAGAACCCCCCTCAACCTGCTGGCCACACTCTGCTTAAGGCACCCCAGGATCCTATTGGCCTGCTTAGAAACCAGGGCACTCTACTGCCTCATGGTCAACTTGTCGTCCACCAGCACTCCCAGGTCCTTCTCCGCAGAGCTGCTCTGTAGCAGGTCCACCCCAAGCCTGTACTGCTGCATGGGGTTATTCCTCCCCAGGTGCAGGACCCTGCCCTTGTTGATCTTCATGAGGTTCCTTTCTGCCCAGCTCTCCAGCCTGTCCAGGTCACGCTGAATGATAGCACAGCCTTCTGGTGTATCAGCCACCCCTCCCAGTTTGGTGTCATCAGCAAACTTGCTGTGAGGGTGTGCTCTGTCACTTCATCCAGGTCATTGATGAGTAAGTTGAGTAAGACTGGGTGGAGTACTGACCCCTGGGGGACACCACTAGTTACAGGCCTCCAACTAGACTCAGCGCCACTGATGACAACCCTCCGAGCTCTGCCATTCAGCCAGTTCTCAATCCACCTCGCTGTCCACTCATCCAGCCCACACTTCCTGAGCTTCCCTAGGAGGATGTTATGGGAAGCACAACAATGCACAGCTGGGGAAGAGAGCCCTGGCACAGTGTGTGCTCAAATATTATGAGACCAACTGACCATCCGTACAGAATCCTTTAATCCTTGTAGTGTGTTGTGGAGATCGAAGCTTTATTCCATCATACAAGTTCTACGTGATGTGGCAGTTGCAGAGAGCTGTTGCTGTTCACTTCAACTCCAACCTCTGTCCGTAAATAAACGGGAAGGAGACAATGCACGGAGAAAACCATTAAAATATGAAATTATAAATAACTGAACTTCTGAGATACATATACACCCAACTATCTGCTTTCCTTTCTTCTACAGCATCCTTTGTAACAATATGCATTGAAGCATTTTGAAAGTACCTAAGGATTTTTTTTTAGTCACTTTGCAAGTTATCAGCTGAACCTGTTGCATTTTTTTAAAAAATGTTATATTGCTGTAAGATTTTAGGATGTGTAACAAAGTGTTACTTAAAAAAAAAATAAAGGAAAAAACTCTACTAGTTACTTGTCTCAAGGGATGAGACACACTGCTTCCACCCGGCAAAGCTAGTGGTGTTCCTACGTGGGGCATATTGAAACTTGGGGGAGCAGAAGTGGGTAACAGAATCTGAGAGTGTGGAGGCTGGGAAGGAGTTAGGCTCGTATCCTAGAGGGGGAAGAGGCAAGGGTCATGGTGTGGTGCATTAGGTTACTAGGGTGCTACTTTACTGCAGATTGTGGCTAGAATTCAGGGTACCAGAAGTGCTTTGTGTCATGAGAGTGCAAGTATCGCTGCACAGTTGCTCAGCTCCATCTTGGTGAGGGCTGAGTGCAGATGTGCTGCTCCCTGCCAGCAAGAGGATACTCTTCAGAGCTCCCTGCACACTTTCTTCCGCTGTCAAAGCTCCTTCCTCCACTTCAGTTTTCTGCCTTGTGTCTTCTCTGACTGGTTGCAGCCAGGGCTGTAGGGCAGTAATGACTGGAGTCCTGTTAGAGATGTGAGACAACAAGAAGTTAGTTGGAACTGAGCTCTGAAGAGACTGAATGGAGCATGCTTAACTCTTCTGTATAAAGGACTGGTTCAGTTCCTTGCCTCTCAGTGTCCTGTGATGATTTTATTTGTTTTTATTTTTTGGTACTCAAAAAGCTTGCTATTTCTTTAATTATTAATGCCGCAGTGCTGTTGTTCCCTGCCTTCGGTTTTGCTGATGCAACTGATTGTGGGATTATGCTTAAATTGCAGCAATGATATGACCTGATTAAAAACGTTAAAAAGTTCATTTCATTTCACAGATCCAGTTTAAGGTGTGGCCTCACAGATAGTTGGGTCAGCAGCTGAGGGAGTGGTGGAGGGAGAGTAATGAGGGGGAGGGGGAGGGAGGAAGAGAACCTCCAAAACTGGTTTTGCCACTAGTGAAAATCTCTGTCAAACTTCCACAGGCTTGCAGAGGTACTGCAAGGTAGACTGTGTTAACAGCTTCCCTTGTCTCAGCGGTAGGTGTGCCGTGTCCAGTCATGGGCCTCAAGCTGCCACCTCACAGCTTTGGGGTGGGAACAACCTTGCACTGTCACCATCAATAAGTACCAGGCTTCCTGCTTTGAGAATCTGGTTCAGTGTATGGGGAATTCACTGAAATGAACCTACTGCTGCTGAGTTTCTCTCAGTACCCAGTGTTTAATGTTTGGAGAGCTGGAGTCTGAAGATACAGCTTGCACACATACTGCATGTGTAGGATTTTGTTTAAAATGAACTGATCAGTTTGTTTCAGTGGCAAGGAAGTCCTTATAATCTTGACTTTAAAAACGGTGTCATGCTCCCAGTCTGCAGGCAGCTTACAGAACAGTTCAGAAGTTTTCAACCACTTTTATCTCTAAATTTTGCCATAGATTTTATACTACCTTTCAGTAAATTGCTGATAATTTTAGTGGATGAATGTGAGAGGGAGGGATGAGTGAAGCAAAAGACAAAAAGCAGCAGTCCTAAAGACTTTTCTTCTTGTGTGTAGCTGCCTATACCAATGTACTGAGTAAAAATAATTTAAGAACTTTTCTACCCTTTGTGAAAGCCTCTTTGCTGCTCATATAAATTTTTTTACAGGTTAAGAGGAATAGTCAGTCCTCAAGATATACTTCAGCTATATGAATTTCAGGAATGGAATGTCACATTCCTCAAATAAGTTTGGACAATCTGTTTCTGAGGCACTTCCAGCACCACAGGCTTCTTTCTCTGCTGACTTGCAAGGTAGCTGGTAACGGAGAATAGTACTGTTCAGGGAACACAGAGAAGACCTGTACTGATGCCAGATGTCCCTGTCCGTTTGAAGGATGTGGTATTAAATTTGCATGTGACGATCAGACTGTTCTTCAGTTTCTTAAAAAGCTTGTTAGACTGGTATGCTTTGAGTTGTCCCTAATTTGGGAATACATCAAGGTTTTAATAAGGTGATTCCTAGGTACAGGATCTCCTACAGTGGTGTTCCTTTGCATGTTGTTTGAAGCAGTTGAAGTGGAATGTGTGTCAAACGTGTTCCATTTCTGTCATCTCTGAACTGATTTGGAATTGGTTCACACTGCTCTAGGACACTTAGAGATAAACTTGATATTAGGAACTTCATAGAGGCAGTGACAGCAGGAAGATTGTACTGTTGTGATCCTGGTGTATGTCAGAAGAATATGATGTCAAGTTGCATGTTTCCAGACATGCAGTCTTGGACAATTTCAAGGATGGGTCAAGTTCTGATCTCCTTTTTCTGAGACAGAAATGGAGATTGGTTTTGGTCTCGCAGTGTGAGAGTCAGCAGAGACTGTGAAGTCAGCTATAGCATGTGCACCTGTGCTAACATATCCATGGCACGTCTTTGTGATTGACTCCCTTGGTGAACACAGAGATCCTAGGAGAAGGAAATACGGTAGGGAGTCTTTGGACTGTGCCGAAGTTTCTTATCCCTTGAGCCTACCCCATACTGTAGCTTTTGGAGGCTTGTCTCCAAAATTCCAGAGTGTGGAATCCAAGAATAAAAACTTTGAGGTAGAACTGTGAATAACTTAAATATGTCATAGTTTCAAGATCTGAAGGAGAAAGCTTGATTTGTGACAAACTAACGTTAATATTCAAGTAAAGGTTAAGGCTAAACACACCTATTCACTTTGAAAGAATGGTTGCTTCCTTAATGACCGCTAACAATTTTAATGTGTGTGGTTTCTTTTTCAGTGCTTCTATGATCATTCCATTTTTTTTATTTTATTTTTGCTTTTTTTCCTAGAGATGTGAATTATGCCCTCATAAGGATGGTGCTTTAAAGAGAACAGATAATGGGGGTAAGTTTTATTCTTATTTTTTGTGAACTCTCGTATTTTGTATGAGGGAAATAAGACTGTGGAAGAAAATTATAGGGATCCAAAACATAAATGAAAACACTGGCTGGTTTGGAAAGAGATGACTATTTTACGGTAACCTTTATTTGTCCAATATACGTTGAATTTAGTTTGAGAACATCAATCATTATTCTTAGTTTTATTTTTAGAAAGAGTTACAATGAAGGAGAAACTGCTTTTTAACACAAAGTTTTAATGGGTGAAAAAGGACACATTTTATGTGTATTTAGTTGGAGTTTGAACGTTTATAGAAAGACACTGAAAGTGCACCATTCATGGAGGAAGGTGGAATTTTTGTGTCTGTAGCACAGACTGAATGCACCCATGCATTTTCAAAGGATAGCTCTTTCATGCTTGATTTACTAGTGTGTTCTGTAACAAAGAAGTTAGAGCTGAAAAGTTGGAGTAGTGATTACCTGTCACTTGCATCTTTCTAATTCATCTTTCAGGTTATCATCAGTTCTGCTCCAGCTGAGTAGAACTGCTAGAGAAAGTCTCCGCTGAATATCCTGTCTTGGTTATGTTTATACTGATAGCTGGGTGATATGAATGAAAAATTTCAATTAATTTTTCAATCACTTCTGGAATTCCTTCTTCTCTCTTTATTAGATATTTCTAAATTCCTGTCCATCATTTATCTGTAAATAGCCAGGTCATTTTGATACTGAGCCCTTTCTCCTGTGAGAGGAGAAAGTATGGATCAGGATTTTGGGTTTCATTTGGAGGCTCTATGTAAATTGTTTTCTGGAGATTTTATACTGCATATGTAGTATTCTAACTAATTATGTCTTAGCTTAGTGTTGATGCAGTTGATGTAGCTTTGCTATTTCTGTTGCAGCTGAGTTGCAAGAACACAGAGCCTGCTTGTGTTCGGGCTGATCTACCTTTTCCCTGGTCTGCACTTTGACTGCAGCATACAGTATACGCTCTAGTGTTCACCATTCAAGCATGTTAGTGAACTTCGTGTCATTTGTGATTAGCTGGTGGATTGTAGTAAGTCTGTGTTGTCTGTGTGTCAATGAAACTACCGCGAGTCCCAGCCCAGTACGTTAGCCTTAGAACTATTCTTCCCCTCAGGGGAACAGGTTGATACATGGCAGTGTTGAATTCATTTCTTCAGAAATGGCAGCTGGACACTTGCTTTTTTAGGAAATAAGTAATAAGAAAACCTCAAACCTCTTTAAATATACAGTAAAACTTGTGAAGTGTGAAGTAGCTGAAAAGGTTTTCTGTTTTTATACTTGAAGTAGTGTTTGGAAATTCCTTGCTATTCTGTATGGTAATTCTGAAACTTTTTCTTTGCATAGAGTCTTGAGAACGTATTTTGACAGGGTGCATCAGAGATCTGAGCATCCTATTAGTTATATCTCTTATATCTGTTTTAATTGTATTTATAAATTCTTGTCTGAAAGTGAGTTAATGTATGAGATTGAAATTATTTATGTTTAAATAGCAAAGATGTTACACTCTAGGAACAGTATTGTCCCTGTTATAATTTTCATGACCAACTGTTTTCATCAGTGAAAGCTTCATAGTGAAAATTACATAGCAGAGAAGTCGTAAGAATTTGTACTTCACCTTCTGGAAACATCCCTCCCTCAGTAAACAGATCTTGTCCATGGTGTTGAATACAGCAAATTGTATATGGACCAAACATCCTTTAACTAACAGCTTTATAGAACGATGGGAACCTTGGGAAAAAATGAACTCTGACTAGTGTTGCGTTTCAGAAATCTAACCTGAAGCTTTCCTTGCAAAGAGTTGCCTAACGAGATTGTGCCAAAGAGTTTCAGAACTAAGGAGATATTGTTGAAGGTCATGTAATGGTGTCCTGGTTTTGACTGGGGTAGAGTTAATTGTCTTTTCAGTAGCTGCTGTGTTTTGGATTTAGTGTGAGAAGAATGTTGATAATACACTGATGTTTTTAGTTGTTGCTAAGAAGTCAAGGATGTTTTTCGGTTTCCTGTGTTCGGCTAATGAGCAGGTGTACAAGAGCTGGGAGGGAGCACAGCCAGGCAGCTGGCCCAACAGAAGTATCCCATACCAGAGGCGTCATGCTCAGTGCATAACTGGGGGTTGCCCGGAGGGCAGGAATCTTTTTCAGGAGTTCGAAATTTTTCCGGGAGTTCAAACTTTCTCTGTGAGTTTGGCGAGATCTGGGAGTTCCGTAGTTGCTGCTTGGAGACTGGCTGTGCAGTTGGTCGTCAGGTGGTGAGAAAAATTGTATTGTGTATTGCTTGTTTTGCATGTACATCATTATTGTTATTAATATGACCATTATTATTTCCTTTGTTGCCTTATTAAGTTGTCTTTAGCTCAACCCATGAGTTTTTGTCCCTTCTCCTCCCCATTCCTCTGTGGTGGTGGGGAGGAGCGAGTGAGTGGCTGCGTGGTCGTGATTGCTGACTGCCAGGTTAAAGCACAACAAATGGGCTTGCCAGTTTAAAATTCTGTTTACAGTCGATTAATACTTGGGTTTTTTTAATGCTGTTATACCACTTGTTGCCAAGGGAAGTGATAAAAAGATGCAGGTATTCCTGAAGAAACTTGAAACAAACATTTCTGATAAAACCTTGTAAGGACCCAGCTTTAGAAATTATGGAGTCTTTCTGTAAGTGTAGTAATAATTAAATGGTCTTAGCTTTTCAGAACAAGTGAAGAAATTACTGATTTTATGTCAGTGGTACGACATTATGCCTCTTTCTGCCTTCTGGAAACAAGTAACTTCACTTTATGGCCAGAAAAGCAATGCAGTTTTTGGTTTGAATATGCAGATAGCTTAGCTCATACATGGTCTACTGCTCTTGTAGATTTTTTTTTTTTTTTTTGGTAACAGTCTTCCAGATATTTGCTTTTTAATCAGGTGATGAAATGTGTTTTGTTTGGGTGTTGAAGATACTGTATTTTCTTTTACGTCAGGAATCTTAATGTTTATTGGTCTACGGAGCTTTTACTATAGGGTTCCATGATTTTCTTAACTTGAAGTAAGACGCGGTTACTGCAGGGAGGGTCCTTGCTATGCATTGCTTCTTCCTCCTTTGTGATGGTACTAGCATTTAAAACCTTCCTCCCCGACCCCGGGTTCATTTTCAGCTAAATGAAGTCAGTTCCCTGACCCAGCTGACCAGGCTAATGCTGATACAGGGGAATGACCAGGACTGCTCTTTCAGCAGCAGGCTGCGCGTTAGCCGTTTTAAGTCAGTCGCACGACTGTACCTGAAAGCAGCCTGATCTTATAGCTCACATATGATGGTGTTATCTTGCCTTTAAGAACTTTGGGGCACTGTAAGATATATATGACAACGTAGTCAAACTTGTGTGTTGTTCTAAAGTATTACTGACTGACTAGAAGATAGTGAGGGTGGTGTATAGTGTGGTTGTGTTGGTGTGTCATGGAGTTTTTTTGTCCCTTCTCCCTCGCCTTCTCCCACCCCCCGAGTGGCATGAGGTTCCTCTGTGTGAATTCTTCGTCCTTCTCCCTCTCCTCGTGGTGGCCTGTTACTGGTTAGCTGACTTTCTGAAAATCAGCGCTTCTTTAGATTTGCTTTTTAGGTTTTATATTTCTGTTTGGAGACATCTACTGTACCTTAGTCATGCTTATCAGTACAGTTGCTGGGGGTTAATGTTGGGTTCTCCAGTATCATCTGTAGCAAATACAGAATTACAGTTTTCAGTGGTACCATAAATACAGCATTCTTGGAGCAGTACTGTCATGGATCTTGTACAAAACTTGAAAGTGCCAGCCAGAGACAGTAAGAGGAGAGGAGCATATCGCGGAGGCCAAACAACATTTGACCTGCTCTCTTTATCAGTATGAACTGGATTCTTGGGAAAGTTCTTGTATGCTTTCTCAGAATACTTTCCCAGCCTACAAGTATTTACGCTTTGGGACTTCTTGAACCAGAGGTGGTATTTTTGTTTTTAATGGAACAGGAGTCCATCATATGATTAATGTGTCCACTTCTGTATAAAGGTTTAGTGTCCATAATGTTGTGTGGCAAGGCATTTTGTGCTTGATCTGTACAGTGTGTCAAGATGTGCACTGGTTTGTTTTGAACCTGTTACCTCACAGTTTTATTTGATGCCACTGGGCCCTTGCTAAGTGATAGGAAGTGACGAAGAGCAGTCATTCTGTGTTCACCTTTTCTGTGCCTCTTCTGGCTTTATAGACCTCAGTCATATTTTTCTTTTGGCTTCTTTTCAGGATGAAGGAGGCCAGACTGATTTGGCGTTCTTTGTGCAGAAAACTGACCATTCTTTTTCCGCTTCTCTATATGTCTTCCAAATGATACATGATCTTTACCAGAGCTGAATGTGAAATTTTAGAGAAGTGAATCTGCTGTATGTGATGCCATGGAATCTCTAGGCTGCAGAATGATTACAGTATGATTTAATTTTCCGTAACATAGATTACTAATGTAATTACGGGTCACCATTTTTTGCTACGAATTTTTCTCATTAATTAAAGAATATTTTCACTAGCCTAAACATTCACAGTACCTCAAAACTAGACCAGATCCTGAAATTGGAACGAGAGTATTGATTTTAGCAAGGCTTTTGCCTGAAGAGTGTTCTTAAAATTGAGTGAACTGTTTTCTGTATTTGCTCTGAAAACAGAAGACATGGGTAATTTACATTTTTGAGGCATTAACTATTTTTGCAGTCATAGTTACCTCTTGGCTATTTGAGTTATTGGAGGTGGAGTGGGACAGGGGAAGTTCAGTTATCCTAGATAATAGTGACTGTACTAGCCAAGTGGTTTCTAGACAGTGTTGTGGAAACATCCCACTTACTGTTGGAAACTCATCCAAGTGGTTCTGCACCAAGTTGCTAGTGTGTCTGGATCTGGAAGGACTAAAGAGTTCATATGAAGCACCAAGTGGAAATGGCATTTTTTTTTGCTCATAACCTGTTTTAGTACACTGGAGAGTACATAGATGCCT